CCAGACTTTAGCTGCTTTAATACTAGAGGGGTCACTCAGTTTCAAAAACCTTTTTAATTCCTAATCTAATAATATTTTTAATATTTTAGTAACTGCCTAAACCTTTTATACAATGAGATAAACATGAAATATTAATAATTTCATTTTAGTAAGCCTGGCTAAAGATTTTGGTATGTTTCCCTATATCAAGGTTAGCTCTTAGATTATTATAAATTCCTTATAAAAGAAATAACACTTGTATTGCTCTACTATATCAGATTTCAAAGATAGTAAAGTTCTTTCTTTGAGAAAGAAATTCTATTAAACTTTAAATGAACATATTAATCAAGGGCCTAATCTTGCAATCCTTATACATTTAGCCTTTGCTCATCCAGAGAGCCCCAATTTGTAGAGACTACTGCCATGTAAAGTTTTCAGGTTCATTCCTTAAATTTGTAATATATTTTACAAAGCCTTGACCTTTTAAAATACAAGGACCTTATGTTTAAGTTGTTTTAATTATCCCTATTTAAAAACATGTTCTGTGAGATAAAATTTTAAATTTCAGAGCTTTAGGCATATGAGGCTGATCCATCTCTAAGAGTTTTAGTCTAGTGTGTTGTATTTAATATAAAATAAAATTATAAACTGTTGTAATGGATGTCATCTCAGGTAATATAATAATATTGCTATTAAAGCTGGATGAAAGCCAGTAAAAAATTTTATTTTGTTTTTTCAAAATTTAAGAAGTCTAACTGCTATTATTTAATACCATTAAGAAGCATCTATTTATAATGAACAAATTGTAAAATTGATCAGTTCCTTATTCAACTGCAAAAATCATAGACTGAAGCATGTGCTGTATCTGAAATAGCTAGACTTCTGTGAACTTCAGGCAATGTCAGAATATTTTAGCCCAGAGTGTGACAGGCATATACCAAGTTGAATGCCCATGTTCCATTACATCTTAAAAAACAAGAAGGATGAAAAGCAGCAGCAGCATAAAGCAACAGTATACTAAGGGGCAGAAAATGTTAAAAACGCTTCTGCCTGCGCCACTGCAAAGAAAAAAATTAAACACCTACCACGTGTCATCTATGTATGATGGGGCTGGGGATTATATGCCAGAGAAAATTTCCATCTGTAGCTATTTCCTTTCAAAATTCATCTTGCTCTTTTTTCTTTCCTGTTCTCATTTTTTCCTGCATTTCTCTTAACTTGCTCTGCCTCACCTCCTTTCCCTGTGCTTTCATAGAATACATAGGGAGGGAGTGCAGGCATCACAAAACCCATTTGGAGGAGGGATGCATTTAACAAGACTGTGGGCCACAGTTTGGCCAAGCCTGTAACATAGCACATCACACAATCCAACCTGAATATTAACTTAAACTGTCTTGGATCTGGCCACTGTTCATAGATTGAAAACTGTGTGAAGGACTCAAAACAAAAGAAAATATCATTTTGACTGATATGTTGTACAGATGTCAGTGGGGGTACTGCAGATATTGGTAGCAGACCGAAATTGACTCAACATCTGTATTAATAACCAGGAAGAAAGGATGAATAGTAACATTGTTTTAAATTCTTATGAGTTGGAGAAGATGAATACAAATACAAAGGAAGCTGGAGTGGAATTAAAATGAGCTTTTAACTTGGAAAACGGCAGGCTAATACATGAGGAGGGGAGAAGGAATCAGTCAAACGAATGTACTCAGAAAAAAGTAATGCTACTAAAAAACTTTGGGGTGCTAGTCAGCAGCTAAGAGGATGCGTCTTTGGCTGTATGCACAGAGGCATCTCATCGTGGGCTAGAGAGAAGGTCCCTCTCCGTATGGCAGGGGCACACCCTCACCTTGTGTATTGCATATACTTTTAAACCCTTTGATACAAGAAAGATGTCAGGATTCTGAAGAGAATTCAGAGAACAGAAATAATTAAGGGCTGCAGGGATTGGCTTGTGATAGTGAAAGAATAAGTGTATATAGCTTTCTTTACTAAATCTGGGACATTCATAACTAGACTAAACATCAGGAAACACATAGTAGGGAACAACTCTGCACTGACAGGTGGATGGACAAGGTAATTTAACATGACTTTTCAGCCACAAGTGTCTCGATTATGATGCATAAACACAGAATCTTAAACTTCCATATTCTGTAGCTGATGTTGTCAGAACATGCTATTTTTCTTCTAACCTTTAAAAGAGTCTGACTGAACAGGCTTCTAATTGATGGAGTTCTGATCAGTACAATACATCAGCACATCCTATGCTTACCATTAAAAAGTGAATGCATTAGCTACTGAAAAAACTACTGAAATAAATTAATCCCATGTCTTCCTACAGATGCGGTTCTTCAACTCAGGCTTTACCTACTGTCAGAATCCTACATTCTTCTACTCACTGTAAATTTTAAGGTACTGACATAACTTTTTTTGGTCTCCGTTAAATACCAAAAGGGTTTCATGACATGTTCTAAGACATGAAATATCATGGGAGCCTAGGACACACAAGTGACCACACGTCTATGTAAATATACAAGCTTGTGAAAGCAAGGGTCTTGAAGCAGAAATCTCTCTCTCTCTCTCTCTCTCTCTCTCTCTCTATATATATATATATATAATATATGGTACATTGATATGACACTGTCAAGTCAGTGTTATTTCATATTGCCATAGCCAAATCATCAGTCTAATTTCTATAGTATGATGCATACATAAAGGTATTTTCTGCCTTAGCGTAATACTTTAGCCATCCCTGTAATATCAACTGTAAGGAAAGCAAGTGCTGCATATCTTGTATTCCTCTTTTCTTTTCCCCAGTGAAGACCTTTACCACAAAATACATAATGTTTACCTTTGCTAACAATATAACAATATATTAAATTATTATACACCTCCAAGTCAGTCACATAGGACACGTAAGCCGCACAGATCAGCACAACTTCCATCATCACCTTATCTTTCTTGATTAAAAGGAAATTTCAAGGTTCAAATCTTCTAACGAAGAAGAAGAAATGTATTCAGGAGAACAGAACAACACTCTTCTCTTACAATTAAAATTTTACACTTCAGCTGCAATGACAACAGTATTTCAAATTCTCATGAATACATACATATACCTTCAATCACAGCCACGTTCTAGTTCAAATTTTCAATCAACAAACTAAGGTCCCAATAAGATAGGGCCCAAACATCTTTTCAAACTCATGCGCCCGACGGGGGGGGGGGCACAAGACTCTTCTGTACTATTCTCATATGTAATGCTTCATATGAAGAAACCAGCCCAAAATGTGATTTCCATCCTACAGCAGAAAGGCATGCAGCACATTTACTGTTATACTACTAACTGACCACACTCTAAACACAGCAATTGCATTCCACTTATATCACTCCTTGTCTACCATGGTCAGAACCTCTTTTATTCTGTATGCTGTATTTCATCATCTTTGCTTGACTGCACCTCATAGAGTGCCTGTGTGCCACCTGAATATTTGCCCCCTCTCACTTTTGAGCCATCTGAAACGGTTACAACTCCCTGGTTGGGTTTCCCCACCCGCACCCCCCTTCTGGTGTTGTTTTGTTTTTTAAACTGGGCAATCCCCACATGTTTTCATTGTGGTGGTGGTGCTGTAAACTTGCTTCAGTTATCCTAAGAACAGCAAAAATCTATACACTCCTCTGAAACGTGAACTCTTCCACGGTCTCATCGTTTTGACTACCTCTTCTGCAAAAGCAAACGAACCCCGAGCGGAAGTCACCATTCAAGTGGTTGCATGCGGAGGTGGGAGCTTGGCCAGGAAAGTTCCTAGTCTGATAGCAGAGCGCGGACCCAGACCCCTCCTGTTATTTACCAGGTAAACTATAAGGGTTGCCACCGCACAGAGGAGCGGACAGCAGAAACCAACAGCGCTTCGGAAAGTTGTCCCAACGCGTATAGGCAACCGAAGTGCAAGGGGAAAGAAGAAATCAGCCTGACTTGGGGAGCAGCTTGTTTGCTTAAAAAAATCAGACTGCGACGGCCCAATGTGTTTTGGCAGCCCCCTCCCTCACTTGGAAGGGGAGGGGGGGAGATTGGCCGGGGGGGGGGGGTTAAGGCTATGTTAAAACTGGGATTATTACCACCCAGCCAAATACCCGCCGCCACCGCTTCGCGTTCCAGAGTTGAGAGTTGCAGCTGGGTTTTTCCACCCTTTCCTAATAAAACACTTCTTGGAGGCGATTGGGAGGCCAGCCCACCGCAGAAAACTTCGGTTTGATTTGCTTTTACGTCCCAGATCCCGTGCTGTGTGTAGAGAAGGCGCCCGATCGGAAATAAACCATACTACACCAATGCCCAAAACATAGGGAGCTATTCCCCCAGCGCCGGGGCCGGAGCGGAGAAAGTTCCACGAACAATGGGAGCGGCAACAAGCTCCGGCACAAACGCTACCTGGGAAACTGGCTAGAGGAGAGGGAGAGAGTTGACGAGGCATTTACATGCCCACGTCGCTCGCTCGCTCGCTCTCCAAGCCCCGCAGCAAGGAGGCGCAGGCCGGTGAGATCCCCTCGGACACGGAGAGACCCCCCCGCCTTTTCGGGGTACGGAGTGTGGGGGGCCAGGCCCCCCCTCATCCCCGCGCCCAGGAGGAAGGAAGCTACTGGAGGCGAGCGCTGGCGGTCCCGCACCGAGCCGGGCTCGAACGCCCAATCCCTGCGAGCCCCGCAGCTCCGGCGGGAGAACCCCGCGACAATGCCCCCTCCAGGGCGCCGCGGCCCGGCGAGTGCCGCTGCCGCCAGCTCTGCCCGGGGGAAGCCGCCTCCTTACCCGCCCGGGGCGCCTCCTTACCTGAGCTCCAGCTCCCCTCCTGCTGCTCCGAGCTCTGGGAGAAGCAGCCCGGGCCGGAGCGGGACCCCACACCCCCTCCTCCCCCAGCGCAACAGTGCACCCGTGGCCGGCGCCTCCGCACCTGGTGGGCGCCGAGCTGTAGCGGGCAGCGCGGGCTCTTTCCCCGGAGAACCCCACCGCCCGCGGGGCCACTTACCTGCCGCGAACTGGGCTCGGGCTGTTCCGAGCTGGGCCGGCGACGGGCCGGCCAGCAGGACGAGCAGCGGCAGCCAAGCGGCGGCTCCGGCTCTCGGCTCCATGGCGAGTTTGGAGAAGTTTGGGGAAGAGAGGCGGGCTGGCCCCGAGCGGCACGCTCCGCGGGCAGGGCTCGCCGGGAACCCCTCACCCAGCTGCAGCCACCGCCTCCTCCTCCGCGGCCCTCGGGCCCGCCCCCGAACCACCCCGAGGGCAGCACCAGCCCGGCGCTTCCACGCTCGGCAGCGGCTGCTCCCCGTAACTCCAGAGTTACTTTGCTGCCGCTCTGCGAGAGGGGAGGGAGGAGCCGCGCGCGCACGTCAACCCCTCCGGCTCCCAGCGCCGGGCACAGGGAATGTGGGACTCCGGCCCGGAGCACAGGCGCCGCCAGAGCGGGGCCCGCCAGCGCCTCCTGCTGCAGACACGCGGACGTGCAGCCTGGCGGGCGGCCACTGGCACACCAGCGGCTGCGGGAGCCACCGGAGCCCGGCCTCCCTCGTGTAGCAGCCTCCTCTCCCGGGCAACGGGTGCAGTTTCAGCAGGAGAGGGAGAGATGGGGAACGATTCTGTCTCGGGCTGTCGCGGTCCGTTTTCTTCTCTAGAAAGGGGAACAAAGGAGAAAGAGGCTGGATCACAAACTCGCCCCTGCACTGGCAGCCCGGAATCATCCTAGCCACGGGTTAGACTCGCTCCACACTCCCAGTGCTTTGCTTTGGCTGGAGTTCCTCTTATTTTAAAATATAAATACTGTACTGGAGGGAGGGGGATATTATTTCAATGAACCCCCAGATGCAAAACTCGACACATTTTGGAGCTAGTCTATTATATACAGGCAAAGAGTCCTGTGGCATAAGCTTATGCTCCAATCCGTCTGTTAGTCTATAAGGTGCCACAGGACTCTTTGCCGCTTTTACAGATCCAGACTAACACGACTACCCCTCTATTATATACAGTTATCATTGGGGTGGGGGTGTATATACACACACATTCTCTCTCTCTCACTCTCTTTGGCAACACATGTAGCTTATAATGCCATTAAGTCTTATTTAACTGCATTGGCACTGGAATAAACCATCTACTCAATTATCTCCATATATACTATATAGGGGCCTGATCCTTTCTCTCACATGTTGTTCCCACTGACTTTAATAAGACTGTGCCAGGGCTGGTATTTGGCTGTTTACAAGATCCAGACCTAATGTATGCTATGCAGTAAAATCCTGATCCTCCTGCACCACTGAATGCTGTGGGAGTTTTGCCCTTAACTTGAATGGACACAGGATTAGGCCCCTTAAAAATACTTGAAATGATAGGTAAAGGCATCAGTGTTCACATTTATTTACACCAGATGACATTTCCCCCCCAATTTTTAAATGTGAACTTGCTTACTGAAGTGTGTTTTCCTCTTTGCCTAGTAAGTTATAATTAGGGATGTTACGAAATGATTGCAACAAAACCTGAAACCACTGAAAACAGACAGGTTTTGTTACAGGCTTGAAATTCAGCCCAGGTTCACCAAAAGGTTTGCTATGATTCAAAACCCTTTCCAGCCAACTTGTGCCAGTTGGTAGGTTTGCCTCTGTACCCTGCAAAACTCATGGTTTCACAGCAAAACCAGGTGAAACACAACATGTCAGATTATTTTCTCATTATCTGAATACAAAGCACACACAAGTATGAACTCATGTAAATAAAAATCAAATAAAATATTCTCACAGGTCCTGTGTGAGGTAATGCCAAGATTTCTTCTGCTCTTCCTGACCCCTGGATTTGTGAAAGGGAATTGGAATACAGTTAACCTACACGAGTATAGCTGTAATTTAAAATCTAGGCCCTGGTCATTTGATAAGTCTTCTCAGGATCAGGGCTAATGTATTAGCTTTCAATAAATACACAGAAAACCCAGCACAAAGACTTTTCTCTAAAAAGGATGTGTTGGCTTTTAAGACTTTTATTGTGTAGTGGAATCAGATTATTGTGCCCAGGTAAATGTTTTATTTGGGTGGAGTGATTGAAAACCAATCCAAATGTATTTCTATGGAATACAAATAGCTGCGCTTCAGAGAACACTGAGTCTTTGTTTAAACTGACAGAACCAGGGAAATTTAGAGTTATATGAGCGTGACACATCAACTCCTGATCTAACTGCACTGGTATTTTAGGTGTTGCAGAAACAATGGGTCATCTACTGATTTTAGGTACATATACTGCAGTTCCTATGAGCAAGGAGAACGAAGGACACTTTGTTAGCTCTAATTTTGAATGTATTGATTTAAATTAAATCATAATATTATCTTCAATTCAAGTTTTTGTATATATACAAAACCCTGAAAAAAAAAATATATATATATATATATATAAATTGTACAGGGAAAAGACTGATTAGGTCATCTAGACCCCTGCAGCTGATCCCTGTGGCAGACCCCTGAACCCATAGTGGCGGATCTCATATTGCCACACTAGCACAGGGGTCCTCCTCTGTGGATCCACTTGCCCGATTGGGGCCTGTAATCCATTCCAGTGCCAATGAATACCTACAGCTACAGTATATTTACAAGTGGTTTATCCAAACTAGTTTTCACATCTTCCAATGGTGGAGTCTTCTGATTTCCTCTCTTTCCAGTCACTCAAAGGCTTCTCATTACAGCCAACATTATTCAGGTTAAGGAGCAATGAATGGACCTTCTTCCTTCAGAATGAATTCTGCTTTTTAATTGAGTGGACAGGTCACCAGTAAATAGAGCAACTATGAAGTATATGGCCTTTCCTTTCCCAGGGTATGTGCAGAGAGTCTGTGGTGCTCAAATCCATGTTGGCTCAGAGAGAAAAAAATTTTAATGTGTAATAAGCACACTTAAAAATACTGATATTGACATATCAGGTTTGAGATCATTAGTAGTATGATGGGAATTGATTCATTATTCTTGCTTTTACATTGTTATGGCCGTGAATGTGTGCTGCCCTTTGCTTTGAATTAAGAGAAAAGTACAATACATTTAAATTTACAGATTGCACTTCTCTAAAAAAATCATCTGAGTTTAGAGCCCAGATATCAAGTGTAAGCCTGAGGTCAACTAAAACAGCAGTGAGAAACTCTCAGATGAATTTCCCCCAAATCTCTTGGAGGGGGATTCTGCATTACAGCTGGAGCCCTGAGGAACCCACCATCTTTAATCCCAGATGATTACAGTCTCCAATTAAGGTGCAAAATAAATCTCCGCAAACTAGAAAAAGCTTAAATGCTTCCAGAACTCTGCTGGATCTCCCCATCCTTTACATATTTCTCATTAAAGCCCCTCCATTGCACTGTTGGGTGCCATTAAATCAATCGGAAACTCAAGAAACTGTGACACAGCCAAACTAAAGAAAACTTTTTTTTAAATAGCCCCTTTCACAAATGCTGAGTTTCGTTATCTCAGGACTAAGAGAATATTTTTCCTGATTATGAAAAAAGCATTTTATTATATGTATGAACCTTGGTTTATCATTGACTTGTTTGGTCATTGACTGTGTGTACAGCAGGAGGTCTTTGTTTAGTGACAGGCTGCAGATTCATATCTACTTAGTTGACTTTCAAATTTCTCTAACTGGGGGACTTTTTATTTCTACCTGTTTTATCGTCTAAATCAGATGCGCTTAGATCATACCCACCTGCTGATGCAAGGAAGTGCAAATTCCACCCTCTACACTAGTGAGGGCCACCATTCCTGTGGGAGAATTCAGCTCTGGCTAAGGGAAGGCAGAATTTCCACTGCTGCCTTCCCCCTGTGGGGTTTGGTAGAGAGGGCAGTTTTAATCTCTGCCACGGTGTCAGAGAAGCCCCACAAATGGAGACTGCAACAGGAATATGATGGATCTGAACATCCCCCAGTTGCCCTGGCTAGAAAGGACATCGTAGATAACTTGTACTGCTGCATTCCCCCTCCAGAAACATTTTTTGCTAGAGGGTATCTTCCCTGAAGGAAGCTGACATAGACTGTCAGTGAATTTTGTCCCAAAATTCCTAGTGAAAGGTAAGTGAGAAATTTCCTCATAAGCCCCAAAACACTATCTCAGTGTCAAAGATCTAGGATACACACCAGTCATGTGCTGCTATAATAGCCTGAGCAAAGATGCTAAACAGCTGATAGGTATTTTTTGCAATATATGGTTGCCCAATTGCAATGCAGACAAGAGCAAAAATATTTTTTTCACTCAGACCTACCTGCTATCTCATTGGGATGTAGAAGGGATTCCAAGAAGATTCAAAGGTATTTTTTTCAGGTGTCAAACTACTAAGATCAGATTTTCAAAAGTGCACACCACACAGTAGCTCCCATCAACCCTTCCCTCTCCCCTCCATTCATCTCCCTGCACTTTGTTTAGGTGCCTAAATGGGAGCTGAGCGGTTGTAATATCTGGCCCTTCAAGGCTACATTCAAGAGCCTTTTGATGGAGACACTCAAGAAGAGAAAGCATTATACCCATCCAAATTTTTTTGATAAAATCTAATATTCTCAAGGCAAGGTCTTCATTTATTTTGAACTCTGAAAAGAACAGCTCAATGAGACCTAGACAAAAAAAATCTCAGCTAAGTGGATTAGTTTATTGTCTGAGACTCAAGCTAGAATTTTTGAAATTCACTAATTCCATGGAAGGCCTATGGCTGACAACAGACTGCCATAAAGGCTGGAGAAAAGGTGGCAATGCTCAGAATCTCCCTGTTGCCTCTGAAGGGAGTTCCTGCACATCTTCACACAATGGGTTTTTGGCAGAAAAGTAAAGGCAGATGAAGGATGGGAGCAGGGCTGGGAGTGGGCTGTTGCATATAGTAGGTACAGAAGGACTGCAGAGGCTGCCTGGCCTTGAGGCTGGAGTAGCTGTCACTGGACAGTTCCACTGTTACTCCATAAACTGGAGTGAATGAATCCTCCCAATGTAGAGCTTCCATATATGTGCCCCGCTATTCCAGCTGGGTACTGGGAACTGGATTTTTACACCTGAGTAGCAATGGAGTCATCTTACGACTGCTCATCCATCCTCAAGGCTAAGGAAGCCTTTGCAGCTCTTTCACATGATCCCCTGTCATTACATAAGGGTCAATGGCTGTGTGTGTGTTCAATTATAGAGAGGGTTGTGTAACAGTGCCTATTCCAAACCTCTTGTTCTGTCTTGCTCATGATTCTTTGAAGCAACTTTCAGGCTGAAAGTTTCCATTCTCTGCTAAAAGGTAGGGTTTTTGTTTGGTTTATTTTCCTTTTATGAAGCATTGATAAAAAATGATGTAGTCATTTTTAAACAGGAAAATGAAAAAAATACACTTTTCCTATTATCAACCAGATTCTTGCAACTTATCTTTGAGCAGCTTTGCCGTCGAAAAGGC